CTCTTTCTTCGCAGATTTCGCGCTGGGGGCTGATGCATAAAGCTCCGAATCTGTGATGACAGTGTGATGAAGCCCCTCTTGGGGAATATCAGCTATGTTTAAAATTTTTTGAAAATTGGCAAGCTTAAAACGACTGCAAGCGTAAAAAGATAGAAAGAAACAGGGTCATGAAAAAATATCTGCAAGCTTAAATTAACTATTAAAAAAGCAAAAAAGGATCTGCATGTCAAAAAGATCTGCATGTCAAAAGGATCTGCAAGCCAATTCTCTAAAAGTTAATTCTAAGAATTTCTTGTGGCAGGGGTACTCTCAATTGCATGGTGGCTAGAAATATCAGGGTGAACACATACTTTCTTTTGTAAACAAGTAATTTAGTGATGCTTGCATTTGCTAATATAGAAATGGAATGGCTTCATTTTTCAGTGGGGCTGATTAACTTTCAAAACGATCGGCCCTGAACACCCCTGCTACCCGGACATAGTTCAACAACTACAATCGCCCAGTTTCAAAACATGATGGATCGCTATGGGGTGAGATGAAAGCCTAGGCTAGATTTACTTTCCAAAAAGAGCTTAGTGTGGTTTCGAATTCATGTTTTCATATCTAAACTAATAATTTAGTGACACGTGTCCGCATTTGCTAATATAAAAATGGAATGGCTTCATTATTCGGCGGGCTGATTAACTTCATCTAAACGATCTACGTGGCCAGATCTAGACACCTTGCGTAGGAAGGAACTCCAGCAGCAACCACTCATCATTCAAGAACTACAAGATGCCCAGTTTCAAGATACGATGGATCGCTGTGAGATTAATCGTATTTTGTGAAATAAAATGGGTTGAAGATGGTGGGGACTTCATTGATTGGTACAGTGCGGCGCGCATAGAATGGCCAAATATGCATAGATGAAATTCTCAACTTTTGCTTGCTTTTCATCGGAGTATAATGCAACCGCCATTCGCGCACGCCGCCTTCTTGGGATCAGAGACACAGAATCCATGATTATGGCAAATATTGATTGGCACCATTTAACGGCAGCAACGCTGCCCACATCCGCTTCCTTGAACACTGGCTAGCTCTGCTGCCCCCAACTTTCCAACTCCAACCTCATCAACTGGCATTCTCAGTTGAAATGAGGAATCAAATAGTTCTAGATGGCGACTTAGGTTTTTTGGCATTTTGTAGCAAGAGTATTAGTGGAGGGATATGAACTAATGCGGATTCAGTGTATATGTTGATAGGGCAATGTAGCCTGACTTGCATTTCGTTTGTGTTTTGATATAGCATGCGTTTGAGTAAGTGAGCATGGCCATGATGTGTGAGGACTGCAACTCCTTTTATTACATATATATATACATATATCTATACTACAAAACTAGTTCTCTAGGCTCCGTTGATATTCTAACGCCAGTTTCTCCCGAGCGCGACCCCGCACAACAGTTCCATGGGCGTCCTCTGCATGGTTGAGAAGAACAGATTTGGCCGGGAGCACCTTCCCCTCGCAAACATTGCACTCAACCCCAGCGGCCGGCCATGGAGGGTTGATATGCCTTCGTAGAAAATGCCTTGTAAGTGATCCGGATGTTGCGTATTTTTTAATGCGGTCCTTCAGCGAGCAACTAGGATTCCCAACGCAGAGAAAGCAAACGCGAGGCCGAAAGCAGGTCTGAGGCTGTTCAGCTGTAGGCTTGGCCTGCACAGACTCCATTGCTTGGTGCAAGAGGACCTCGGGTAAATCCTTTACCAAGCACCTCTGCCGCTTGGTCGGAGGATAAGGGTCATCATCGACCGCGGGCCGGCGCGCGGGCCGGCGCGAGGGCCGCCCTTCCTCCACGCCACAGAATGCGACCCCTGCGTTGATTGTGTTGATCCTCCGCTGATATTCCGCTTCAAGACTAGCGCCCGGCATGGTCAGCATGCAGTCAACAAACATCAAGTGCTCCGGAGGCATGAAGGCCTCGTGCTCGAAAGTGTCCATGACTTTGGTATCCACCAGTTTCCCGGCCAGTTGTCGTTCAAGGTCAATCACAGGTTGCTCATTCTTATAGCGCTCAAGGTTCTCACGGATCCGTCGGTTCCGCTGCCGCTGCTTCTCGTTACGCAGCTCACGGACAGCGCTGTTGTACACCGACTTTGCTTCTGCTGTCCGATCACGGAAAACCTCCAGTCTCTCCAGCACCTCGGGGTTGGACTCGGCGAGTACTCTATCGTCAAGATGCCCTAAAGCAGTCTTGCACACCTTGTTGGCACGTTCTAACTCGGCTTCACGGTCATCCAATTCCCGCTTGCGCTTCTGGACAGTATCCTGCCGGCCAAGGACAACTGGAAGGTAGTTGAGGGACCTTGATTCTTCTGGAGAGAGCTTATACGGTCGGTTGGGGTCGATTGATGCACTCATCGAGCAGGCAAATCGCACCAATGCTGTTTGGGAGCCTGTTTTCCGGACTATTCCCTGCGCGTCAACGTCGACGTCCACCTGATAATGCTTGACGAAGGTGCGAATATCCGCGTGTTGGAGCATGACGTTCTGAAGAGCCTCCGTAACTTCCTCTGTTCATCGTTAGCCTTCCGACATGACTGAAACATGAAGAAAATGGAGGGGTACTTACCGCTGTTGTTAAATGCCTTAGCTCCAGCGTAGCGGAGGTTGTACGGGTGGGCGACCTCCTCAAAGCCCGTGATCTCACCGGCTCGGCGCATCCGGGAACTCACCATGGATGCAGTCATCCTCTGATCCAGGCAAATTTTAAATCCAGTGGATGTCAGCTCCGTCTGGCAAAACACAAACTTATCTAGTAATTCATCCTTTAGTAGCAGCGGCTGCTGTCCCTTGCCATCCAGCACTTTGGCGCTGTAGAGTTTCTCTGCGGAATCCAACACTGGTCCAGTAGTTGAAATTGACTTGAATCCTCCAAGGTGAAAGAGCATAGTCAGCAGGCAGATATGCGGGCTGAGAACCAGGGTCGGGTCAAAGATGATTTCCGGAATCTTAAACTCGTTCCTATCAATTCTGTCAGTCAACCAGCCCATGCCGCGAGGATCAGAAACACATACGGTGCCTTATTTCCAAGAAATCTTTTGGTAAACTCTGGTTTTAAGAATATGAACAATCGGGGGCGTCCACCGTCAGGAACTCGGATCAGGGTTAGCATGATGTCTCGATACCGAAGATGAAGGATCGCCGAAGGACGGCTGGCGGTGATGGCTGCAAGCTGCAGGAAGAAAAGCATTTGAATGCGCTGCCAACCAGAGACAAATGTCATCTCAGTGGTGGTGAGGACGACTCGAGCGAACTCAGCAACATCTTCGATATACATGTTCTTCTTCGGCCGCCCGACAAGAGCCAGCTTTTTTTCTGTGGCCACCTGTGCAACAACCTGCGAGAGATTAGTGGTGCTCCTGGTTGAGTGACCTGAGGAGAGGGTGCTCACATCTTCCACCTTGACAATCGTATCTTTGTTTAGTCCCGATGCTGTTTCCTGTTTGAGGACAAGGTGCCACCACTTCCAAAATGTCTCCAGCGAGCTTTTGCATTTAATGCCCGGACAGTATCGATTGTTCTTGCCACGACGGATATCACACCGCCAACTGAAGAACGCATACAGGAAGCGAACCGTCTCCTCTGAATCAGAGATCCGAACCCATTGCCGCTCTGCGTTAGCCTTGATGTGCCGACAATACCTGCCCAGCACCACTGGTGAGCTTATAACACGGTTTAAGGGTCAAACGAGCCACTGCCTACCTCTCCCAGTAATCGCGGGTCTCGTCGAGTTTTTCCTGGGTGTTGGGGCTGTACCGCTTCTGTCGAAGCTGAGCGATATCAAGGCTCTCTGCTAAAGCCAGGTAGTGTTCGGCGGGAAGTTGGCCGTCGTCGTCGTCTTCATCGTCGCTGACGGAGCCACTTTCATACCCGCTGTCTGAAAAAATGGCATCGAGTGTGGAGAGAGAATCCAGAGCGGCTAAAACATCCGTCTTGCTGCTGCTCTGCTTGTCAGGTCCGGCCAAACAAGACAGAGGCGCCATGATCAGGGCGGCCCAAGGAGAGCCGACAGTAGAGAGGGACAGGACAAGTAATGAATGACTTAAGACACTTTCACGGATAGAACTGGCTGGGTAGTGCTGCGAAGGAGGGGAGGAAAAGGAGGCGTAGACGGCATGATGAGGGTGACGGGGACTGGAAGCAGAGAGAACAACATGATCTTGGGGGGAGCCAAAACCGACGGAGTGAAGCGTCAAAAACGGCTCCCCCCCCTCCTTCCAGAAGAAGGGCAGTGGGTGAATGTGGGTGAATGAGGGTGCTTGGAAGCGCGCAAAAACGCAGCAAGTTCAAAAATCGTGGCCATGCGTGGAGGGAAGCGTCGGGGCCGTGGGGATATATTCACGTGATGATTGAGGTTGGGCGGTTGGCAGGAGGCCAAAAGCAGCCGCGAAAACGGCCATTTTCAGCCGCTGGCGAACCGTCACATCGTTATATGGAGTATTTATATAATGTTTGAATAACTTTATTTTTATATATAGTCAACTGTAGTTATATTAAATTGTTGTTTCTATACTATGCTGCGGCTGGCGGTTGCCGTGTATATAACCGGTGGGATAAAAATAGCCATGACCGCTGTGGGCCGGGCCACAGCACCACTCCCACAAGTATATACACCACTATGAGCGCAACCATTTAACAAATGGTTACGTTGACCTTTTGCTATAGATAACCTCGTGGTTATAGTGCTATGTTACCATACGAACAGAAGGGCCCGGCTAATGAATCGATATTAAATTATTAATTAATCTATATAATATAAACTATTAATTTTCAATCTCAATATAAAGATACAAATATTGTTTATTAGATATGTAACCAGTAGCTTCTAAGTTAATTTTTGACTTTGAAGTTGAAGTATTTAACTTTTAAAGAAGTTAAAATAAATATATTTTCACTATTCTTTTTTCTTCATTATAGGTTGAAGTGTTGATAGTAACTTTGAAACATTGTAAATCATATCGTAGAATATAATATGAATAAAAAAGTGATGAACTACATTAATTAACTGTCAAAAATTATATCATCAAATAAATATGATAAAATAATACTATGTCCATTAAATTATCTATAGCAAAAGCTAACTTAACTATTTGCCAAATGGTTGCGCTCATAGTGATGTATATACATACCATGAGCCGTGGTGGTTGTACCGCGGTCAAACACCTGCGGCGTTAGCGTAGAAACCATATAACCGTGCCATGCTTACTCACTCTCTCTAGTGAGTGTGCCACAGCGTGCGTACCAGCGTGCGTACGGAAAACCACAGCGTACGGAAAATATTTTGAATATAGTGATCTTCGAAAATTAATTAATAACCACCACCACATCTATCTATAACATAAAGATTATCTATATACTCATTAGAAGGTGTAGAATCCACTGTAGGTTGAGATTCTATAGAATTATCTATCCTGTTGAGCATGGCTGTAGATTTTGTAGGTT